ACTGTTCCTCCTCCTTTGTATTTCCATACTTGATAGTTCTACCTAGGTTGCCCTTTCTGTTAGTCTGCGTGTTTTCTGTTGTGCATAGGGTTTTCAGAGGCCTGCTATTTCAGACGCGGGTGGCCAAATAAATAAATAAATAAATAGGTATGTTTGTAAAAAGTATAGATCCTCACAAGCTGTAAATCAGTAACAGATATGATTTTAGTACATATTCCATGTTTAACGTGATGTGGTTAACCAGGTGACATATGTCTGAACAATGAGATAAAGAGCATCTGCTGACCAGTGATGCTCAAAGGACTTCCGCATTTACCCCTAGAACTATAACAGTTACACCACTTAGAATTCTAATTTCATTTTAAGTGTTTTAGACATTTTAAACTAATAAAAGGAACATTTTGCTGCAATGAGTTCCACGCCACATTCCAGTGCCTTGCAGACTACCATACTATTGATTTGTGACCAGTTTAACGTGGAACATAAAATAAAGTTATTTTAACCCATAATTAAGCACCTGCTTGCATCCATCAAATTACAGTAGCTACCTCCAATCTGTCTTACATGAAAAAATGTTTCCAGACTTCGTAATATTTCTTAGTCATCTTTGTTCAAGAGCTCCTGTAGTCTGTAAGAAGTTGTACTGTTAACCCAGTACCTCTCTGGCAGTTCAAATCTCCCAGTGACTCCAAGGGAGAAAGATGGACAGCCTCTTCCCATTTGTTTTACTGTCTCAGAAAACTGACTGGGGGGGTCAGCTATTCAGTCGGTTTCAACTCAACGACAATGAATTTTTCATTTGAGGAGTATGAGTTACACTGATGTAAGTCTAGACTCCTACAGCTGGCCAACTCTAATAATTCTTCCTAGAGTTGCAATTATTATTTACTCACAATTTTTTTATTTGATTAATCTTAAGCAAAGACTATAACATCAATTTTAAAGATATTTTAATATTTGTTGTGTTGTTTTGTTTTGTCTGTTGTTATTGGCTACCGTCAAATTGGAACCAACTCCGTAGCTAATGGTTTTCAGAGGTAGCAAACAACAGGAGAATCCCCATCCTGTGGAGTAGCTGGTGAATTTGAACCACAAACCTTTAAGATGGCAGTACATGTCCTTATGACTAAGACACCAGAGCTCCTGTTTAATATTTGAAATACAGTGTAAGCCATAAATTAGTGTTTCGAAATTGTGCTTTTAGACAACAAAATGTATTTATGAGTTGTTGTCCAGTGAATAAAAACAGATTACATGTTTAAGTGTGTTGTGGGACAATATACAGGGGGAAAAGAAATTCTATTGTGTGCACCTTTGTGTGTGTATGTATATTCATATTAAGAGAGAAGATTTGGAAGTATATGCATAAAGATGTTAACAATGAATGTTTCAGAGAGTTTAGATATTCAGAACACTTTCACACTATTTTTATTTTTGCAGTGAGCATGTGTAACTATTATAACAAGAAAAAAAATAGCAACTAATGTACCACTCTGAGAGAAGTATAGCATTGCTAAACAAATCCCAATTTAAAAGACATCCAGACAGTATCTGTATATTTGTGTGATACTATGTGCAGAATGCACATGGGACCATCACTTATGTGCATATATCTACTCAAATACTTTCATTTCAAAAACATGAAAAATTGAGTCCAGAAAGAATAAGTGAGGTGGTTTTAATTAAAGTCCCCAAACTCAGGAAAATTAAGCCCCACATGAGAGGCCAGGTGTCTTCCAGTGTACCAGACAGGCATGCACTCTGGTGAGTCTGATGGTCAAACAGTTGCAAAAAAGATAGGAAACTGGTTCCATGCACAGGTCTGATGGGGACGGGGTTGGGGAGGAGAAGAGAAGGGAAGCACCGGATTGTTAGTTTACTGTAAATGAAATGTAATTACAACATCTCTTTCTTTCAACTGTTGCTCCCTTGATGTCACTGGACATATAAAATACCTGTGCCTCTCCCTGAAAAGCAAGTTGCCATAACCAGATAAGCAGTTAACATCAAGAAAAATCTGGTTCTGATTTCAAGTGAAATCTGACATGGCTACTTCATATGTATAAGAGTAGACTTGGCCTCCATAAGTATACAGCCAGGCCTTTCGTCCGAAGCACTCCTGAGTGGATTCAAAGGTGCAGTTTTATGTTAACTAACCATTTGGCCAAGGACTTATGAGTTACTATGATGATACCTAAACCACTCTTTGCTGGGAGATTGATAGAAAACCTTAACTTTTCATCCTAAACCATGAAAAATACAGCTTTATTAGACAATTGTTTTTTAGTAGAACAAAGGTTACATAACAATTGTTCATAATTCTTTGTCTTTCTTTATAATAAAAGTACATTATCTAAGATTGTCAGATAAAATACAGGAGGCTATTTAAAAAAAAATACCAGAGGCCCAGTTACATCTGTATTTGTTTTTTTGGCTTTTTTTTAGAAAAATGAAATCATTTACTGTGTCCCATGTAATATTCAGGTATAAGGATTTTAAACATAAATACTAAAATTTAAAAAAAAAACCATGAAAACTCTTATTCTAAAATCATCTTCTTCTGTGCCCGCACTGAGTGGAGGTGGGCCAGGACCACAGGGATAAATCTGACGAGTCTTTCTGGTAGTGAGAATTGCGAGGCTCCAAAAATCATAGAGAATATAGCTTGTTGCTGTTGTTTTATCTTTTATCATTAGGTTGTGGGAGGAAAAGAAATTAAGGCTTAATGCATAATGTTGATCTCCTCCTACTCATTAGATTAGAGTAGCTGTAGATACTGACAGAGACACTGCTAGGAGACTAGCAAATATAGGAAGGGCCATGGGGTAATAATTGCCGTAATGACGATTCTCATTATTGTGGAGTGCCTACTGAGCATGGAACACTGGGTTAAGGACATAACACACATTGTCTCTTTCACTCCCTACAGGAATTTTATGCCACTATTTTCATAAAAGAGAGAATTAACTAGCCCAAATTCATGCAGCTAGTGAATTGTGAAGATTCAAATCTGGTCTATCTGTCTTCATAAATTTCAGTCTTAAAATTTCAATACCTCATTTGTATCAGCTGATAAACATTGTGGGAGGCTGGAAGCCTCATGAAACATTACCCCATCTTTTTAATGATGTCTTTTCTCTGTCTTGCCCTGACAGGATCACCACCACAGCTGCGTGCATGATGGATCTCCGCAGATACCCTCTGGATGAGCAGAACTGCACCCTGGAGATTGAGAGTTGTGAGTTATTTGAACAGGGAAAGCAGAGAGATGTTTAGAATGAAATGCTTGACCCAACTAAACACAAATGTGTGCTGAGTTAACTGGTTTGAGGATATTTTTAATAATGCTTCAGCAACTTTCCAAGATATTCTGGCTAGTGACATTTTCTCCTTTGTTGATGGATGAAGTTGGTTATGCTTTTGAATCATCAGAGGAAGCCCACTTATTTTAGATCATGTTTGCTCTTTCTCAAAGTTGAGTTTATCCCAAGACCTTCCAAAACCCAAGATGCTTTAATAAGAAAAAAAAATCAGTATAAAAAGACTGTTTGAGATTGTTTTCAGTTTGACAATTAGTCTACCAGGGTGATTATCAGTTATTGTCTTTGAGAAAATAACATGGTAGAGTGTTATGTACATGCATCTTTCTTCATGGTGAAACAAACCTATAATGGTACTCACAGAACTTCTGTATGGAGTTCAGAAGAGTGCTTCTGAGTGTGTCTGGTTTTGGCTGATCCTCTTAGACAGGTTTTCATTGATTGCTTTTTTACAATGAAGATGTTTTAGTCACTAAGATTTCATCTTTGTGTCATTGTTTCTCCACCATTAATCTGCAGGTCATTTGAACTCTTTACTTGCAAATATTCAGCCTGAACCATGTCCTGATATCCAGGGGTTTTGAGAGGAACAATAGCTAAAGAAAAGCATTGTTGTTGTTAGTTGCTTAAGATTCCGTTCTGATTCGTGGCAACCCCAAGTATGTAGAGAGAAACTATTACATAGGGTTTTCAAAATTAGAGCATCAGGCTTGTCTTCTCACACAACTGTAGGTGAGTTCAAACTGCCTTACTTTAGGCTAGATGTCCAGCATTTAACTGTCTGTTCCTCTCAGGGACTGCTCTTCTGAACATTACCATTTACTCTAATAAGAGAAATTGTTATGTATTTATTTATGTGAACTAAAATTCTTTCCAGAACTCAATATCAAAAAGGTGAAGATGATTAGTGAAATGATTAATGTTTAGTTACTCATGTATTTGTTGTTGTTGTTGTTAAGGGCCATTGAGTTGAGTGCTACTTATAGTAACCCTTTGAATAAAAGATGTGAACCCAGTTGTGTCCTGTGCCATTCTCACATTTCCTGACACACAAGAGCCCATTGCAGCAGTCACCATGTCAATCTACCTGGTTGAGGGTCTTCCTGTCCTTACTACATTAAAATAAATGGATTTTTATTTTAAAAAAATAATGGGAAAAATCCTAGTGACTCTCTAGTTTTGAAGAGTGAATATGATTCCCCAGTATCTGGTATTAAGAAATTAAATAGATTTATGGTTCTACTTGCATATGAATACAAACATAAAAGAAGATGTTTCTGTAGATACAGTTAAAGATGAAGACACGGACCTTGATCTGTTATCCCTAGATCCTGGGAAAAGAAAACTGGACAGTGTAAGAGGAGAAGCCCCCCAATGAGATGGATTGATTCAGTGACTAGGATAATGGGAGGAAGTATGTCAGAGACAATAAGGTTGGCACAGGATAGATAGAGCAGGGTTCAGAGCCGTTATACATACATAAGGTCACTATGAGTTGCAAGCAACTTGATGGCACATAACAACAACAACAACTATTCTTTAGTTAATATTATAAGGTTAAGGCTCATTCTATTAGGAAGTTAGTATGTATTGAAAAGTATTTATGTATAAACATATTGATGGTACCCTATAATTTAAATGTTAAAAACTAATGAATTCAACCCATAGGAATGAAATGCAAACCAAATAATTTAGTAATGGTTAACAATGTTGTCAGGAGCTCTGGTGCCTTACTAGTAAAGAGGTGCACTGCCAATTCAAAGGCATGTGATTCAAGTCCAGCTGCTGCTCCTTAGGAGAAAGATGGGAAATCTCCTTAACCCTGGAAACCCACTAGAGGGCCAGCTCTGTTTCAGTTCTGATGCAACATCTCACAACAATCATAAAGCATAAAAACCAAAATAAAACTTCTATCGAGTTGGTTTCTACTCGTAGTAACTCATGGCTTTCTGGAAGAAGACCCCAGCTTTCTCTGGAGGAGCAGTGGTGGAGTTAAGCCTTCCACTTAGCAGTGCAACACACAAATACAGGAAACACACAACTACAGGAAAAGAGTGCTAAAGAGCAATGATACCAGTCTAGAGACTAAGGTGTATCTGATCCAAGCCATGGTCTTCACAGTTAATTGCATCTGAGAGCTGGACAATGACTAAGGGTGACAGAAAAAGAATCAATGCCTTTGAGCTATGGTGCTTAACATATTGAACATACCACAGACTGCCAAGGGAACAAACAGGTCTGGTCTGGTGAAATGAGGTTGCATCTTAGAAGCAAAGATTGTGAAGTTCTGTCTCACATACTTTGAATATATTGCCAGGAGGCAACGGTTCTTGGAGAAGGACGTTATGCTTGGAACGGTGGAGGGTCGGTAAAGGAGAGGAAGACCCTGGATCGACACAGTGACTATGGCAATGAGGTCAGATATTTCAGGGCCAGTGAGATTGGCTGGGATTGGATAGAGCAGGGTTCAGAGGTATTGTTCATAGGGTCACTGTGAGTAGTAGTTGACTCGATGACACTTAACAACCACCACCAAATGATAATCATCAAAACAGTTTAATACGAGCTTTTGGGGCAGATGCATGAGGCATAGTTCCTGTTGGAACTTTAAAATGCATTGACATAGTGACGCAGCAATGGATTCAAGTGTATAGGAGATGGTGAGGACTTTATAGGCTAGGACAGAACGCAGATCTGTTGTTCATAGGGTTTCTATGAGTCATCCTCGAGGGCACCTAACCCCAGTAACAGCAACATAGGGTGATTATGAGTTGGGATGTAAGTATTCTTGAACATTCATTTGAAAGATGGTATATGTAGAGGCTCCAAAAAGTAAAGTAACTACCCCAGGGCATGCTGTAAGGAGAGTACTGAAGTGGGGCTTAACCCCAAGTGGTTTGTTTTTTTATCGTAGAATGCTGCAATCAAAGGATGAGTAAGAGAACACAGCTTCAATGATTAGTGGTGTAGCACCTAATGGAACCCCTCTCATCTAGGTTAAGGATGCTGAATCACCCTAAGACTAAACTGTGCTTTCTAAAATTGTTCCTGGTAAATGTCAGGATTGGTCCTGAAGATGTTACTGTAAAATTCAATGGTCAAGGGACTACAGCTGTGGAGCAGAGATAGCTGTGGATGCAGAAAGCCAAGCAGACTGTCATTCCTTTGATGATCATAATGATGAACATAGTCATCAAGTCAGAACTAACTCATAAGTAACCCTCCAGCAGGTATATCAAAGGCTGTAAATTGAATGGGAGGAGACTGGATATCTTTCTCCCACAGAGCAAGTGGAATATTGGAACCACCACCATAGCAGCATAGATTTTGGGTTAAAAGTATAACCACGCGAGGATTTCACCACCAGAAAAAAGAAAATTATAAAAGCTCTCTAATGAATGAAGAGTAGTGTGAAACATAATATATACGAACTTTGTAAGCAAACCAATATAAAATGTTTTTTAAAACATTGTTTAATATTTCACTTACAATTTATTCATTTTTAGAAATAAACGAATGTATTATTGTGGTTGTTGATTGCTTTCAAGTCAAGCATGACTCATAGTGACCCTATGAACAAAAGACCTGAAGCCTGTCTATAACTATCATTGTTTCTCCAAGTTCATAGTTTCCAAAGCATGTTGTTTAGGAAGTGGATGCCTCTCCTGCTTCCAAAAACTAATATATAGTGATCATAAAATCATCATATGGGAGGGCTAAACTTTAGGAGGAGGAATGTGGCAACAGGATTTGAGGAAGACTCATAAACACAACCTGTGTTATGCAGATAACACAATCTTACTTGCTGAAACTGAGGAGGACTTGCAGCATCTGCTGCAAAGGGCCAAGGACTGTAGTTTGCAATATAGATTGAAGCTCAACATCAAGAAAACAAAGATTTTTCAATACTAGACCAATTGTCAGATTTTTATTAGATGGAGAAGAGATTGAGATTGTTAACATTTTCAGTTTGCTTAGTTCCACAATCAAAACTCTTGGCAGTAGCACTCAGGAAATCAAAAGGCAAATTGCATTAGGGAAATCTGCTGCCAAGAACCTCTCCAGAGTACTGAAGAACAAGAATGTCACTCTAGAGACTAAGGTGTGCTTGATCTAGACCAGGGCCTTCACAATTACCAGTTATGAATCAGAGAACTGGACAGTGACCAAGGACGATATAAGAATTGATGCCTTTGAGGTGTGGTGCTGGCGGAAACTTTTGAACACACCATGGACTGCCAAGAAAACTAGCAGGTCTGTCCTAGAGAGGGTGAAACCAAACTGCCCCTTGGATGCAAGGATTTTTGAGACTCTGCTTCACATACTTTTGTCATGTAGCCAGGAGAGACCAGTCTTTGGAGAAGGATATCATTCTTTGAATGTTCAAGGTACAGAATAGGAAAGGAAGACCTCAGATGAGATGGATTGACACAATAACGGAGGCAATAATGGTAAGTGTAACAGAGACCGTGAGATTGACTCAGGATAGAGCAAGGTTCAGTGCTATTGTGCATAGTATCACCATGAGTTGTAAGCAACTTGATGGTACATGACAACGACAACAGTAATTTTAAGGAGTAAAGTAACATGTACCAATAATATGGAACTTAAATGAATCCTAATTGTGTCTACATAATCATGATTGTCAAGTCAACAAGACTCGTAGCTGATCCTCCAGTAGGTTTTCAGAGGGAGTTATTTTCAAAAAGAGATTGCCATCTCTCTCCTACAGAACAGCTGGTGAATTTAAATCACCTGCTTTTGTTGGAAATACAGCTACCACTAGGCCACCAGAATTTCTCATTATGCAGTTATGGTTTGCCTTTGTGTCACAGAAGGTGGATTTGAACCATGTGCATTTGTGATTACAGCACAGCTTCTTACCATTAGGCCACAAGAGCTCCCTCTCTATTAAGTA